TCCTGTCTCAGCCTTTCAAGTAGCTGGGCCTACCAGCTCACCTCCTACACCACCATGCTCAGCTAATTTAAAAACATGTAAATAGTTGTAGAGACAGGGTCTTGCTATGTTTGTTTATTTGTTTGTTTTGAAACAGAGTCTCACTATGTTGCCCTCGGTAGAGTGCCAGGGCATCACAGCTCACAGCAACCTCAAACTCTTGGGCTTAAGTGATTCTCTTGCCTTAGCCTCCCAAGTAGCTGGGATTATAGGCTCTCACCACAACGCCCGGCTAGTCTTTGGTTGCAGTTGTCATTGTAGTTTAGCTGGCCTGGGCCAGATTCAAACCTGCCAGCCTGGGCATATGTGGCCAGCGCCCTACCCACTGAGCTACGGGTGCCGCCTGTTTGTTTGTTTGTTGAGATAAAGTTTCATTCTGTCACCCTGGGTAGAATGCCGTGGTGTCATAGCTCACAGCAACCTCAAACTTTTGGGCTCAAGTGATCGTCTTGCCTCAGTCTCCTGAATGGCTGGGACTATAGGCACCCTCCATGACACCCAGCTAGTTTTTCTATTTTTAGTAGAGATGTGGTCTCACTCTTGCTCAGGCTGTTCTCAAGCTCCTGGGTTCAAATGATCCACCTGCCTTGGCCTCTCAACGTGCTAGGATTACAGGCTCAAGCGATTCTCTTGCTTCAGCCTCCCAAACAGCTGGGACTATAGGCACCCACCACAATGCCTGGCTATTTTTGTTGTTGTTGTTGTAATTGTCATTGTTGTTTTAGCTGGCCCAGGCCAGGTTCAAACCTGCCAGCCTCGGTGTATGTGGCCAGCACCCTACCCACTGAGCTACGGGTCCTGCCTGGCCTGGAGTCTTTAACTCATGGCCTCAAGTGATCCTCCCCTCTCTGTCTCAAAAGTGCTGGGATTATGGTAATCCATAATCCAGGACCAACACCGTAATCCGTAATTATGGTAATCCGTAATCCAGGACCAACACCTGGTCCTGATGGTTTGCAATAGAAGTGATGCTGTGCCAGTTCTGGAGCCCAGCCCCTAAGAGCTCTGGCAGCTCCTCCCTTACCTTCCCTCTTAGAACCTATTAGGAAGGCAGTTTAATACCCTGAGACCACCGTGTGGTGAGGAAGCCACAGAAGACATGTGGACAGAGACAGGCCCTGAGGCCCCAAACAGGTGAGTAGACTCTTCTTGAATCTTTCAACCCAGCCCAGCCACCAGCTAAATAAGGGTGAGTGAATCATCACAATCGATGCCATGCAGAGTAGAAGAACCATCTGGGTGAGGCCTACTCAAATTCCTGACCCACAGAATTGAGAGCAAACAAAATAATTACCATTTTAAGACACTACATGTCAAGGTACTTTGTTAGGTAACGAAAGGTAACCAAAGCATCCTCCCTCAACTTGGGGGTTTGGACTCATAATGCCTCTCTCCAGAGAAATCCTGTTCACAAATCATCTTTCCCCAGGCTCCAGCATTCAACTTTCTGTACTTCTGGCGAGGGTGAGAGCTTCAAGAGCCATGTAACCAGTTTTCAGATAAATCCTTAAAAATTTGCATGAGAGCTAACATCTCACTTCGATGTCACACAGCTCAATGCTTCCTAACATTCACTGTATCTTGGTGCTTCAAACACATGAAACTTCTGCTACTGTGCTCTCTTTCTGTGTGTATTAGAGATGAGTTAATTTGGTTTTGTGGCCCCATGCCTTTCTGCTACCATTTTTCATCAGGATCCCTAGTGTCAGTGACTATGATTTAAATGGGTCGTGATGGAACCCGGGGAGGAATGAATATCTCCCTGAGAGGGATGTGGTGGCTGGAGGGTATGGATCTCCACTTTGGAGGAGGGGTGGGAGTGTGTCCTTTATCATGAGGAATGGTTGTGTTGTGTCACACAAAAGCATGTATCTGCTGCTCCAGTGTTCCGGCAGAAAGAACCCAGGATGTGAGGCATTTCCCATAGTGGCAGATAGGACCCTGGTTTTGTCACATTCGGGCCTCATATTCTGGTCCTCCAGAATTTCTTTGAACTTCCCTAGGCCAGGAGAAGATGTCTCTCTGCTTAACCCAGACAGCCTGGATTCAGTTGTGTATAGCCAAGACCCTGGGTCATTGGGTGATGTTATTGTTCCAGTTTGACAGGTGAAGAAGCCCAAGTCCCACAGAACTAGTGGGGAGGCAGACTTGGGAAGCAGGTATGTAGGTTGTAGCATCAGCCACACACCCCTGGATAGGCATCCTGCCTGGAGGGACTTTAGATGCTGCCAGACATGCTGGGAAGGTCAGAGTTGCAGCTTCTGGGCCAGTGAGGAGGGGTTCCCCAAGCTTCTAGGCTCAGGATGGTATATTTCTCCAGGGTGGGGTGAAGCCATCTTCTTGTCCTGCACTCCCCACCCCCTGGCCCAACCCTGCTGCCTACCTCCTGACTTCATCTTGGGCCTTCACAGCCCAGTAGTAAGCTCTTATGGTGTGTAGCCACAACTGGACCAGCCCCTTGTCCTCATGTCCTGGGCCCCTGAGCTCTACCCACTCCTTGCCTGGGTTCTGTTGCCCAAGCCTCAGAGACACCCATGCTGAACCATGACTTCCGCTCCCAGTTGTCCCAGATGTGTCTCTCTGGCCTCATTTCTACTGAATGGAAAAACCCCAAGGACAAGGGCACAGTGTCTGGGCCGCTGACTCCCACAGGCTCCCGAGGGCTCGGGACGCTGCACGGGGCCTTGCAAAGCGTGCAGTGGGACTGCACTGAATGGCTCCCATTGTTCTCTGCACCCAGAGTCTTGCAGGCTCCCAAGGAGCAGAGGCACCTTGTCCATGCACAGTGTAGCATTTCACACCCACACAAAGCCCTCAGTGTGACCACACTAGGCGAATCCATCCCCTGGCAGGGACACACACGGGACATGTTTGGACTGAGGAGGGGAGGCCTGGGAGCTGTGCCCAAGGGAGGTGAAGGGCCTGTCAGTGTATGGCCCCTCAGTCTGCGAGGTTCCCGGCTCCACTCCCCTCACCTCTCATGGAAGATGCATGGCAGGGTGCACGTGGAAGGAGCTCTGGGTCCCAG